ATATATTACTATAAATAAAATTACTGCAGTTATGGAAAACAGATATTCAAACAATAATTTTTACAAAAAAACAGAGCTGTTCAGTTTCAAGTTAACACTGAAGTGTCTTTAGAAACTTGCTCAATATTTAAAACAGAACTGTTTTCTCATCCTGTGTGGATTTTCATGTGTCTGTTTAAAATTGACTTGTTTATAAACTTGCGTCCACAAACATCACAAGCAAATGGTTTTTCTCCTGTGTGCATTCTCATATGCGAGTTTAAAGTTGGCTTCCGACTAAACCTTTGGCCACAAAAATCACAAGCAAATGGTTTCTGTCCTGTGTGGATTCTCACATGTATGTTTAACGTTGACTTATCTCTAAACTTTTGTCCACAAACATCACAAGAAAATAGTTTCTGCCCTGTGTGGATTATCATGTGTGAGCTTACATTTGATTTCTGTCTAAACCTTTGTCCACAAACATCACAAGCAAATGGTTTTTCTCCTGTGTGGATTCTCATGTGCGAGTTTAAAGTAGACTTCCGTCTAAACCTTTGTCCACAAACATCACAAGCAAATGGTTTCTCTCCTGTGTGGATTCTCATGTGCGAGTTTAAACTTGACTTATCTCTAAACATTTGTCCACAAACATCACAAGCAAATGGTTTTTCTCGTGTGTGGATTCTCATGTGTGGCTTTAAATATGACTTTTGTCCAAACCTTTGTCCACAAACATCACAGACAAATTGTTTCTCTCCTGTGTGGATTATCATGTGTGCCTTCAAATGTGACTTGTGTCTAAACCATTGTTCACAAACATCACAAGTAAATGATTTCTGTCTTGAATTAATTTTTTCGTTTGAGTCTCCAGTTTTCTTCCCTAAAAGACAATTCTTTCTAACCAAACAACTTGAGGACGTTATTCTTGAATGACCTGTCTTGTTTCTCTGGACAGACGGCTTGTGGAGAAATTGTTTCTCACACTCAGAGAAGCTGCAAGATTTGTTGACAGTGTTTACACCTGACTCAGGAGCCCTGCTCTCTGTCCAGCCTTTGTCAACATCTTCAGGTTCTGATCCAGCATCTGATGAGTCTTTCAGCTGATAATCGGGATCATTCACCTCTGCATCATCATCCTCACTGTCTTCAGTCTCTGAAGAGCTGGAACCATATTCATGAGTATTTAGATCCGGGTTCCTGGTAGTTTCTGCTCCTCCACAGTCCTCTCCAACAGTTGCTGCATTCATCTGGTCAGCTGAGCTGCTGGTTGGAAGATCTTCATCTTCCACTTGGTGCTGATGAAGCTTCATATGGAGGAGCTCTGGGTCCTTCTGGTCCATATCATCAGACTTCCATTCTTCAGAACCTTCTTTTACAATCAGTATCATCTGCTGAACATCTACAGGGAACAATGAAACACATGAACATTAAGGACAGTTCAAATTTATATTCACACAAACATCAATGGTGTTATCACTGAGTTCACTGATCAGCTCAAAGATCATGGGGGGGGGGGGGGTCGCTGGGGGTCCTCCCTCAGAAATTTTTGAATAAAGTAGATACCATTTCCTGCATTCTGGTTAATTTTAATGGGCTGTTCAACATTTAGTTTTGCCTACATAAGTAACACTTGATTCAATAACTATTACAGTTAATGGCACAACAAAAAGTAGCCTGACCAACAGCTCTCCTTGTGTGAATAGAGCATGCTCCACTTCTCTCATGGATCCTAGCCACAGTCTAAGAAACATACCGTAGTGTAACCTAAATTAACTTTTAGGAAGAAAAAACACTAGTTAACATGAAACGATAACAATAATCACTCCTTCTTACCAATGGCCTAGCATAAAGCAATATGATCATCATCTATCATGTTTATTAGTAGCTTAAAATACCTAATTAAAACTCTAGTAATGGGCTAGGTCTACTGTAATCTTACTCAGTTGAAGGGTCAAGAGACAAACATGTAGCATTAACACAGTATGAACAACATTCAGGAATTTTTTCTATAAAAACTTTATCAAATATTTTACATGAACGGTAAGATCACTTCGCCCACGAGGAAATGTAACCCAGGGTGAGCTAACCTCAGCCAAACTAACAAACAAGTTAGCTGTAATGGTGGAGGTAGTGAAGCTCATGGTGTTACCTGAAGTATTTAGGAAGGCATTTATGTCTTATAGACCAAAATTAAGGCAAAAAAGATAGGAAAAAATAAATAATAAATTCTAAGCTCTAATAACTTAAAATAGTTACTGCAGAACTCAGAACTCAAAGTGAAATTCAATATGTAAGAGTGTAAATTTTACACACACAATTTATTAAACTTTGTACAAAATCAGTTTAGTTTTAACAAAGACTAAACTTGTGCAACCAGAAGTTACAACATATATCTACATATAAAACACACAAAAAGCACAACTAGCTTTAAGCACCTATCTCAACCATCTAAACACTTATGTGACAATGCTCTTCATTGACTACAGCTCAGCATTCAACACCATAATCCCATCCAAGCTGGTTTCCAACTCACCACACTGGGCCTGGCGAAGTCCATCTGCTGCTGGATACAGGACTTCCTCACCAACAGACCACAGGCAGTGAAAATCGGCAGTCACCTCTCCACACTAGTCCTCAGCACCGGTACACCTCAAGGCTGTGTCCTCAGTCCGCTCTTGTACTCTTTATTTACACAAGTATACCCCCAAACATAGCTCTAACATCATCCTCAAGTATGCTGATGACACCACCATCTAGGGCCTCATCACCAACAACGACGAGAGTGCCTACAGAGACGAAGTTAAATCACTGACCAGCTGGTGTCAGGAAAATTCCTTAGAGAACTTTACTAAATGACTTTTTATGTATGTGAATGTTTCTGTAAAGTGCCCTGAGACAAATTTGTTGTGATTTGGTGCTATATAAATAAACTGAATTGAATTGAAAAAACCTCTCTCTTAATGTCAGCAAAACAAAGGAGATGATAGTGGACTTCAGGAAACAGAGTGGAGGTCAGCACTCCACCATCTACAAACCGGATTCCGAAAAAGTTGGGACACTAAACAAATTGTGAATAAAAACTGAATGCAATGATGTGGAGGTGCCAACTTCTAATATTTTATTCAGAATAGAACACAAATCACAGATCAAAAGTTTAAACTGAAAGAATGTATCATTTTAAGGGAAAAATCTGTTGTTTCCAAATTTCATGGCATCAACAAATCCCAAAAAAGTTGGGACAAGTCCATTTTTACCACTGTGTGGCATCCCCCCTTCTTCTTACAACACTCAACAGACGTCTGGGGACAGAGGAGACCAGTTTCTCAAGTTTAGAAATAGGAATGCTCTCCCATTCATGTCTAATACAGGCCTCTAACTGTTCAATTGTCTTGGGCCTTCTTTGTCGCACCTTCCTCTTTATGATGCGCCAAATGTTCTCTATAGGTGAAAGATCTGGACTGCAGGCTGGCCATTTCAGTACCCAGTAGTTTTACGGCCTTGACCCTTACGCACAGCGATTGTTCCAGATTCTCTGAATCTTTTGATGCTGTTATGCACGATTGATGATGAGAACTTAAAAGTCTTTGCTATTTTACGCTGGGTAACACCATTCTGGTATTGCTGCACTATCTTTCTGCGCAACAATGGTGGAATTGGTGATCCTCTTACCATCTTGGCTTCTGAGAGACACTGACACTCTGAGAAGCTCTTTTTATACCCAATCATGTTGTCAATTGACCTAATTAATGTTAATTGGTCGTCCAGCTGTTCGTTATATGCTCAATTTCCTTTTTCCAGCCACTTATTGCTACTTGTCATAACTTTTTTGGGATTTGTTGACACTCAAATTTTGAATCAACATATTTTTCCTTTAAAATGTTACATTTACTCAGATTAAACTTTTGATCTGTCATCTATGTTATATTACGAATAAAATATTGACATTTGCCATCTCCACATCATTGCATTCAGTTTTTATTCACAAATTCTTTAGTGTCCCAACTTTTTTGGAATCCGGTTTGTACCACAGCCGCTGTCTGCGTAAAGCACGCAGCATCAATAAGGAACACACCCACCCAGCACAAGGACTCTTCCATCTACTACTCTCAGGTAGACGATACAGGAGTCTGCCATCATGTACAAAACGACTCAATGACTCAGAGTTATTATCCATAAGCTGTCAGATTACTGAACTCTCATTGAATAACACTGAACAACTGGCAATAACATTGCACCAAGCCACATCTGTGACAACTAATATTTTTATTGTTAATGTATTATATGGCTGTATCATGTATGCATCTACCTTACCATCATAATTCATCTCAATGTTACTCACTACCTGTGCAATAATCTGTCACACAACCTGTGTTGTTTATGTTAGTTATGTGCAGTATACATCATGTGAATTTAAGCTTATATTACTACCTTGAAATACTTGTTCATACAAATTCATCCTACTTGCACTGTTATATTCTACCATATTGTTGTTTACTTTTTTCTTTAGGACCTTGTAAATATTGTATTTACTTTTTCACTTTTTGGTACTTTACCATACCATACCATTTTATTTATAGAGCACTTAAGACAGCTATAAGGCCAACCAAAGTGCTGTACAGACAGAACAACAGACAACACACAAAGCAATATACAAAATGAAGTAAATCAGAATATATGCATAAAATCAATGCAGATAATAAATATGATGACAAACCAGTGTGGAGCATACATGTTCACAACACAGATCCTCTGGTGTTGAAAGCTACTGAATAGTAGTGAGCTTTTAAACGGGATTAAAAAAAATGAGAGGGAGGGGGCCTGTCTGACAAGCAGAGGTAACTCTTTCCAGAGTCTTGGTCCTGCTACAAAGAAGGCTCTGTCACCTCTGCGCTTAAGACGAGTTCCTGGAACTGTGAGGAGCAACTGGTCCGCTGACCTCAGGGAACGTGGTGGGACATACGGTTGTAGCAGATCAGAGAGATTGTGTGTGTGTGTGGGGGGGGGGGGGGGGGGGGGGG